TATAGGTTTAAAATTAATGGAATATAACAGAACTGGGTCTTTATATAGCTGTTTATAATATTATTAAATCAAATCTTAACTATTAAACTGATTAATTGTATCTAATTAATAAATATTATCTAGTCGATTATTATAATGTTTTACAAAAAAATGTGAAATTTGCAGATCAAAGAAAAAAAAATTGATGATTTCTGATTTCTGATTGCTGATTTTTTTAATATTACTTCTAATAATGTATATATATCAACTAATATTATACTATATCAGTCACATGATTTGTTATGCAGATCACGAGGTAAATTTTTTAATATAAAATTTGAGTGATTGACACTCATATAAAAAAATCGATTTTCATAGTAAATTGCAATGGTAGACCTGTTTTAATCCTATTTTTCAAGGGTTTCCAAAAAGGAAACTGCTTAGGTCAAGTTTAGCAAATCGCAAAAATAAGTATTTTTTCATAATCGAGCTTAAAACGAAGTATAAAGCAAACTCAAAAAACATCACGCCTACAAAGTTGGTCTATTGTTTCAATTTTGTATATACCAAATCTAACAAGAAATCTGACTTAAAAATTTTTTTTTAATTTAAAAAATAATAATTAATGAATCTTAGCATGTATAGAGCCTATTCTCACAAAACCAAATTTTAAAAGTATAAACCTGATATTTCTAAATCTTTAACTATTAACCCCTAATTAATGTAAGTACTTTTTAAAAGCTTTAGTTCACTTACAATATGAGCTAAACTTTATTAAATTTACTAGTTCAATTTAACAGATCCAACCTTCGCTAGTATTTGCCTAGGTTATAGACCTGAAATTAGATGCAAAGTTCCTCAATTACTTTTGGATCTGATGAATAATGGCTTAGACGCAGAACCAAGATGCTGGTGAAATAAAATATAGAGTGATGAAATAGTTTTGTCACTATTGGTGAAACTATTGATGAAATTGGTGAAATTAATTTCACCGGCGTCTTTAAGCAGAACCTCACTTTAGAAAAGATTGTAACGATAGGAAAGTTGATATTTTCTATATTTATAGAATTTATAAAAAGAAACTATCACAACAAATTAATCAGGAAGAAATTTAAAAAAGATAATGCTAGAGTGATTTGACCGTTAGTTCAACATATACAGACTTGGAGTTTTTTTGATAAATAATGATGCATTCTTTGTGTCTAATAATAGCAATATCTAACAGTTACGCCTTATTTAATATTAGGTAAATGGCTTGCTAATTATATATCTGCTTTAAAACTTTATAGATTTCACCTGATCTTGACTTTCACTTTTGCTTTTCATCAGAGAGATTCGCTAGTTTTAGTCACCACCATGTAAAAAGGTTTTACAAACAATTATAGGTATGAATAATTTGAATGAATTATTCTGGTTTACTCATTAATAATGAAATATTAAAGGAAGAATTCTTTCATTGTCGAAATTGCAGGGTAATAGTCCAGATGTAAAATTCTTCTGGCTTGTGAAAGAAAGATGAATATATTTATAAGATGATATTTTTGGAGTCATGCCTTATAGTGCTCCTGAAATTTTACCAAGAAAACTGCAGTTTACACAAGCAGCAGATATTTATGGGTTTAGTATTATGATGGCAGAAATGTCAACTGGACAGATGGACATAAATTTCGGTTTTTTATAAAAAATGAGTATTGATTTTTTATTTTAGACTTGCGATTGTTAATTGACATTAAGAACAGATTCATTACCAATCTGTAGATATTCGGGCTATCTATTTTATGTAATGGGTGTTAAAGATATTATTTCAATTTTGTACCTGTATACCTGTATACTAATTTTGGGCGACACGTTGGACTTTTTTTAAAAAATTTTTTTTTTAAATGTTCAAAATTTTATGTAAGGATCAATCTAGTTTATTTGTAATTAATAATGCTTAATTGTTTCGATTATTAAAATCGAAGTAAAAAAATTAATAAATTTTACATAAAAAAAAACTCTTAAATATTTAAGTAAAAATAATTATGAGGGCAATGATAATAATTAAAATTATTAAAATAATAATAAATAAAAATATTATCAAAAGCTTGAATATAAGCTCGAACCAATCTCGAAGTATAAATAGTAACCTAGATATTAGAACCTTCAATTAAGAGACACCACAAGAATAATAAAGTTTTTTCTAAAAAAAAAACAATAATAAATTACTAAATACAAAAAACAAGCCAAAAGCAAGAAACAAATTTACTTATTCTTGGCATCGGCAGAAGCTATTGAACAAAATCTGTTTCAGGTGATGATGAAAGGCAAATTAAAACAATAAAATTCACAATAACATATTCAGACAAAAGAGAAAATATATCCAGACTAGAGCTTCGAATTTGTATTTGTATTTGAATAATATTTGAATTCGGCGAATATTCGAATAATATTTGTATTCAGTGAATATTCGAATAAATATTTATCTAATGAATAATTCAAATAATATTTCTTATTCAAATAAGCAAATTTTATTCAAATTATTCATCATGTGAGACTTCAGTCATTGGCTGATTTACACATAGTAAAGATTCACTTCATAATGCTATTCGAATAAATAGTACTTATTCGAATTTTGTTAGTTATTCGCAAATATTCGAATAGATATTTGCCAATCTAAATTATTCGAATATTATTCGAATAAGGAATCCAAAAGCTCTAACCCAGATGACCCAATGCTTGACTCATAGGCAGACATTCGTATGATTGGCTGTTTAGATCAATTTAATTTTATATTATTTATACAGTTTAAAGTGCTTTTTAAAAAAAAGAAAACTACTACGAATAAACAAAAAAGAAGTATATAGAAATTTATTAGGATCATAGAACTCCACTATTAAAAATAATCAAAATTCTTTTTTTGTTTTAGAGAAGTTAGCATAATAACAACTTCTTAAAATTATGTTATTACCATGCTAACTTCTCTAAAACAAAAAAGAATTTTGATTATTTTTAATAGTAGAGTTCTACAACTTTACTAAAACTTTCTATATACTTCTTTTTTGTTTATTCGTAGTAGTTTTCTTTTTTTAAAAAAATACTTTAAACTGTATAAATAATGCAAAATTAAATTGATTTAAACAGCCAATCATACGAATGTCTGCCTATGAATGCTTGGCAAAGATAAAAGGACAGAGAGAATTGTTAGCTTAATAATATCACACTAATAATAGAAAAATTGTATCATCAGAGGAAATTTTAAGCTAAGCCCATATTAGTAACCGATACTAAATGCGAAATTCCTTGATTAAGTATTTAAAGATTATCTTACCTAGTAGTCTATGTAAAAAGTCATTGAGTTCTCGATTCTCTTGTTTGTGTTAATTATCTTTTAACACCAATTAAGAACTTGCACTATTGAAGCATAGGCCAGGAAAAATGGGTGAACATGAGGCATTCAACACCGCTATTGTCACAGGCATTGATGCAAAAGTATAGATAATGTTTTAGAATCTCATCTCAAGTAAATAAAGATCAATGATAAAAGGAATTAATTGGTGCCAGAAGAAAGTTGTATTTATAGTAAACATGATGAATAATTCTCTTGCCACTAGAATAATGTAAAAAATTATGTGAGTTGAAAAATGTATTTAAAGACTTGTATTTTGTCTTCAATAAAGTTCCTCAGATTTCAATCTATCTAATAAATAAATAAATAAATATAGATAATTAATAAGCATTTTAAAGCCAAAGACAATATTTGAATTCTTGTACTTATTTTACATAACCCTTAATAATTCATCGTAAAACACAATTCACAATCACTTAAAGCTATTTTATCAATTTATCGATTTGATCTGATTAATTAATTATTTACTCAAAAACACAATCTAAAGGCAAACTCCTAATTGAACTCACCTCTTCTAATTTTATGCGCCCTAACCTTTGCATGTTGGGATTTTGTGTATCTGTATTCTGATATAAAACAAACGCACCCAATTATAATACTAAAACAGACATGGAAGAACTCTTACCTAATGCTTCATTTGATAATAAAGAAGAAGCTTCATTTGCTAGTGAAGAATTTAATAATAACTTCGGCCAAAAATTCAGCAAAAGTATTGCAGATGAAGAGGATTTCATGTTTGACTAGCAATCATTAAGAAATGCAAGTAATTTAGTAGGCGAATCTGATGAGCTATCTAAAAGTGACGAAGAATTGCAATTATTAGCTAACAAAGCAAATAAACTTTTTAAGAGTGATAATGAATTCTCTGAAAGTGATGAAGTATTTGAAGAAGAGTTTGTAAAGCCAATTTCCCATAACCTTGGTCATAATATTAATCATTACTGTGTAATCATCAATTATAATAAAGATCAACACATGATTCAAAATGTAATACCCTAGTGACTCGTAGAGTGCATGAACTCTGTGGTATATGAGAGGTTGATCCTCAAGCTGTAAAAGAAGCTGGAGAAGATCTTTCAATGCTACGTACTTGTAATTATCACCTTAACTACAATAATATGCTGCATTCACGTTCATCTAAAATGGGAAAAAAAAAATCGGAATGGCCAATTGATGAAAGTAATATTGTAGGATATCATTGCCTATTTTGCAGTAAAATCAAGAGCTTTTTTACAAGAGGTAAGACGTGTTTAGCACATAAGCAGATTATATGTGGCCAAAAAATTCAAGTTTCATGCTGAGGGTTATTCAATTGCCCATCGATTACTATACATGCTGGGTTATCAGGTGGATTACCAACTAATAAACAGCCCTGCTTTATTTGCACAAATTGCTATGTAATGCACAGAGGTCATCTACATATTCTGCCAGATAAAAAAGGAAAGCTAGTTTCATATATAGGAAGAGGAAAACACGATAATAATGCTGCATCTTCTTTGTGTGTTTAGTAAGTAGATTGAACAAACCACTGCATTAGATAATGAAACAGCAAAAGCTAATTTGTTAAAAGAACTTATTAAAGAATTAAATAATATTACCAGCAATGTCACCAATATACAAAGTAGTATATCTGCAGATGCATTCTCTATTGTTTCTACAATTAATACAAGTGCACCTTCCGTTGCCTCTATCGCTCCCAGCCCTTTTCTAATAAAAGTAGCATTTAAAATTAAAAAATTAATATTACTAAAGAAGCACAAGCAATGCAACTAAAAAAAACCACATGCAAAGATTTTGGAGAAATACTTGCACACTTTATATTGAATGTATAGCTGGAACTCAAGCCAAATTATCATCAATCGAAGAGCCGAAATTGCTAGATGAATACCATAATGCTATGTCAGCTTCACTTTTAAACTTTTTTATGGGCTTGATTACAGTTCTAAAAGAAAAAAGAAGACAAATATTAGCTAGAAAACAGAAAAAGTAAAACTTGCCCTTACTACAATTAGATGAAAAAAAATTGTAAAAATTTCTCTTTTTTTTATATCTGTGCTACTTAGTATTGCTTTTCCTCGCTGGAAAATCTGGTTTACTCATATCCTTTCTTCACTTTGCCAATGACCAAAAATAATAAGATCTCTCCATAAAATTCTTCATGAAATCAATACAGTTTCATATATTAGAGATCATGAGGTGCATGCTCAAAAAAAAAGGATGTCAGCTACAGATCCTCGAACAAGGCTCGACTTGATGCTAAATATTTTGAATATTGAGTTATAGATAACATTAACACAAAGAATACCACTTTCCAATATAGCAATGTTTATGATGCAGTTCATGCTACTGCACACGCAACGTTGCAAATGGTCTTTCAGTTTCAATGTCCAGAAATTGTCAATTCAAATAACGAGTTATTGGAAAATCAAAACCTTTTGGTGTAGGCCCTATTATAGAAGAATGGCAAAAAAATTAGATTCTATATTTATTCAACTAATTAAAGAAAAGCCATCATTTGATGCTAAAGACGTTGATACAGCTATTAGAAAACACATTGACTCGGCATTATTCATAGCTCCTCCAAACGTAGTAATTCTCCAACCAGGTGAGGCTCCAAGCAAGAATGAACACGTCCACCATGCAGTTGACATGTTTCTAGAGGACTTTGGATACACAGAGAATGGTGTGCTGAATTTAGTTTGTGATGAAGCGATCTATTATCAAATGTATGACTACAATAATGAAAAGCAAGCAGCATATTGTATTTTAGGACAATGGCATTCGAACAAAGCGATGTGTAGCATACTTATTGCCACCTTTTTGGGATATGGGCTTTTTGGGCTTGCTACACAGCTTGGCATTAGTTTTCTTGACAAACTTATACAAATCACCAACTACCAGTCAACATTTTGAGTACTCAAGCTTATCTGAATAGCTGTTAGGGTTGCAATTCACCTATATACTTAAGAAAAAGATATTTCTAATAATGATATTTCTAAAGAAGACAATAAATTATTAAAAACATGGTATAATTTTTACCAATGGGCTGGGTACTTGAAATTACACAAACTTGGAATTTGTATAGCAAATTTCGATTTGCAAATTCACAGCTTGATGGCATTTGCCTTTTTATTCCCTAGAACAAAAAAATATAGGTATTCTGAATCTGTGGCATGATTTTTGTCAGACCTTAAAAGAAAACCACAATTCCTCCAAGAACTTCAAACAGTACCTTCAATCAATTTGACACAAGAAGGTCATTATTTTGCTTTTGACAAGGCTCTAGAAACCTTTGGCGTGAAGTTTGTAAAAGAATACATGACTGGATGTGCAACTAATCCTAATAACCTAAAACTAGTTATAAAATCAGCACAGTCAGAACATGAAAGACTTGATTTGTTAATTTCAGAGTTTATTGAAGATTAGCCAACAAGAAAAAACCTACAGTCCATTAAAAATCGTAAAAAAGCTCTTTGGGATCTAATTTTTGATTTTAAATTAAAATTTAACAACCTGCAGTTAGAGGCATGTACTTTATTTACAGAAACTACTCAATTAACTAATGATGGTTACCAGCGGATGTTTGCCTGTTACCAATCAGGAGTCAAAGCAATGAAAACCTACATTGCTACCGGATCAAAAAAGTGAAAAAGTAAATAGGATCTTATACCTATAAAAATAACAAAAAATAAAAAAAAAGATGTGAATAGTGGTTCTCTACAAGCTTCAGAATCACATATAGAGGTTAATAAAACTAACATTGAAGGCATACATTCGGTATCTGAAACTAACAACGAAGACACACATTTAGTATCTGAAACTGAACTTGAAGCTCAGATATTGCTTCAAAAGAAACGTCCAAAACATAAAGCCACATATGAAGAAGAACAAATCTAGAATCAGCTTGAAGATTATAAAGACACTTCAGTACTGCCCACAGAATTTGCTAAAGGACTAGTAGAGCAGTTGGTGAATGTGGTTAGGACTACCTGCATATTGGATACTAACTAAAGTCTGATACCGATAGTATTACCACTACAAAAAATCGAAGAAAGTATGTATAAAAAATTATTTTAACTTAAATAAATATTAATATCTTGGAGTATTCTAAATAAATATTATCTTTTTTTAGTCCTAGCCAGATTTTGTGCAAACCAAAGTTCTCATGGAAGACATATCTACTTGAATTTTGACATGCTCTAAGAACAGAAGAATAGAGCAATTATGTTGGATCTTTAGTGCTATTAATTTGTTCTGAAGCTTCCATATTTCAGATTGTATCTACTATTTTTTTTTTAAAAAAAATATCTATTATAATAAAAAATACTAGTAAATATAATTCATAATTTTAACAATTGCCAACAAAAAAAAGAACTATTAAACTTCACCCTTTTATGAATTGTTGCAGAGTTCGTCACTTTGCTGGAATAGCTCAAAAAAAAAAAAATGTAAATGAATTAGGACAACCTACTAAAATATAAATCATAATTTTAACAACTGCCAACAAAAAAAGAACTGTTAAGCTTCACCCTTTTATGAATTGTTATAGAGATCATCAAGTTAAAGTCTAGTTGCCAGAATAGCTCAAAAATAAAATATATAGTTAGCCATGAACGAATTAGAACGATCTAAACTATAAAAATATTATATAAAATATACTACTTATTTTTTTTTGCCTTGCTTATAATGTACTACCTTACAATCCAATGCATTTTCGAAAGCTTGCACTTTTTAAGCAAAAATTATTTAAACTGGAAAAACATCATGTGGCAAAAGGCAAAATGGTTGATCAACTTTGGAGGCATAGTATTTTAGATAGAAATATTTGTTTCTTATGTTTTGTATATTATTCGATTTGCAAAACCTTCAAGAATAATTTTGTCTTAGAAAACATTATGTATTACAGTCTTGAATATTACCAAATAAGAAAATCAGCCTATCACTAATAAAAGACTATTCTAGAATTAAAAAACATAGTATTTTTATCTTTTTAAAAAAAAAATTCATTTAATAATAAATCTTTGAATTAATTTTAATATAGATTGTCCTGTGACTATATAGTCCAGGAATCCCGCATGATCCCAGAAGCTTTAAAAGGCAGTTGTTTATCAAATACAAAGATAAAAGATGATTAGGCGTAAATTTAGCCCTAAAAATCATTATAGATCAAAATAAACTTAAATAGAATTGTCTAGAATTTACTAATTGTACAAAAAAAGATATGATCTGCATCATCCAAATTTGGTAATATCTGAGACTGTATTACAACTAAGACTTTAAACAAAATCTTTAAAAAAGTAACTTTATCATTTTGTATAACCTACGAAAATCATATGTTAAAATTTCAGATGTGACAAATCATGTGACTGATATAAAGTCTTATATATATTTATTTAGCATACATTTTTTTAAAAAAAATTCATTTCTAATAACTAAAATTATTATCTCAGAACATTTTTAATCAACTTCTAAAATTTTATTGTAATAAAAATATAAGTTCTTTAGCAATATTATATAATAATTCTTATAAGATTAAATTTAGTGCAGCTTTTAAAATTTTCTTCTTGCATATTATGCAATAGTAAATTTTACCAGCCTAGAAAACAAGCAAAATTTAATATTACACAATTAAGTTCTTTATAATATAAAGAGTATGCAAATATATTTTTACAAAAGATATAAAATCAAAATATGTTTCAAAATTATGAATTACAACTTTTATTTCTGCAAAAAAATATTAAAAAAATTAGCAATCAGAATCAGAAATCATCAATTACTTTTTTTTTTTGATCTGCAAATTTCACATTTTTTTGCAAAATACCACAGGTCAAATAAAACTATACCAGATAACAACCAGATAACCGATAAGTATCCTATATCAATCTGATATGCATATAGAAGTTTACTGACTAGTAAATTGTAAATGTCTCCAATTGGTATATGATTTCAAACAGATATTTGGCAAAAATAAGATACCAATTAGTAAAATTTAGGTTCTAAATCAAATAGCCATTAGACAAATTAATTAAAATGATAAATATTTTATTTTACTCGAAATTGTTAAAAACCAGAAGAAATTAAGATATTTATCGAAATATAGTATAGACCTACTAGTCTTTCGATACTAAACTTAAATTGATCCTAGATTTTTCCAATTAGTATCTTATTTTCACCAAATATCTGTTTGAAATCATAGTCCATTTAGTTGATGATTCACCACTCAACAGGTGTATAATCTTAGTAAAATATAATTCAGATTACTATATAAATTTACTATAGTGCGAATGTGGCGATCACACAAGGTAAACTTTTTTTTGTACTAAATTAATCATTTTTCTTGCTTAAGAGACTTTTGTAAAGCTTGTCAAGACACATATAATGGTAGTCAAAGCGTTAAAATTGGCCTAGTAAGTGCTAAGATATCTTTAAAAACTGTTCTTTTACTATATAAACTTCTTTGCAAACAATACTATTGTTTGCAAAGAAGTTTACATAGTAAAAAAACAATTTTTTAAAAATATCTTGTCACTCACCAGGCCGATTTTGATGCTTTAACCACCATTAGATGCGTCTTGACAAGCTTTACAAAAGTCTCTTAGTACAAAAAAAAGTTTACTTTGTGTGATTGCCACATTCGCACTATAGTAAATTTATATAGTAATCTGACTAATATTTTACTAAGATCATGCACCTGTTGAGTGGCAGATTATTAATTAGAGACATTTATAAACAATACAAGTATATTATCAATTTTTTAGTAAATCTATTAATTAATATGATAAGTATCTTATTTTATTTGAGATTGCTAGAAAACTGGATACTCATCAGTATAAATTAAGATACCTATCAAAATATATTAAAGGCCTACTAGTAAATCGATTTTAATCTTAAATCGATTCTAAATTTTTCTGATTGGTATCTTATTTCTGCCAAATATCTGTTTGAAATCAGAAACTAATCAGAAACTTTTAAGTCCAATATTGTTATGCCGGTAAACCTATTAATAAACCCAATTAGTATCTTATTTCACTCTAAATTGCAAAAAAACTAGATATTTATCAGTATAAATTAAAATACTTATCGAAATATATTAAAGGCCTACCAGTAGATCGATTTTAATCTTAATTATTTCCTATTGGTCTTCTATTTTCACCAAATATCTGTTTGAAATCAAAGACTAATCAGAAACTTTTAAGTCCAATATCATTATACTAATAGACTTGTTAATAAACCCAACTAGTATCTTATTTTACTCTGAATTGCAAGAAAACCAGATCATCAGTATAAATTAAGATACCTATTGAAATATATTAAAGGCCTCGATTTTAATTTTAATTATTTCTTATTGGTCATCTATTTCTGCCAAATATCTATTTGAAATCAGAGACTAATCCAAAACTTTTAAGTTCAATATCATTATGCCAGTAGACCTATTAATAAACCCAACCGGTATTTTATTTCACTCTGAATTGCAAGAAAACCAGATACATTTCAGAATTAAATAATATATATATTATTATGTCCAACAGGGCTATATTTTATTTTATTTTTTTTTATACTTATATAAAAGTTATAATGTTTATTTTATTGAAGCAATTGTATATTAATATATTTATTTAAATCAAAATATAGCTATATATTTACATATTACTATAGCAAAAAAAAATAGAAAATTTTATGTTATTTTCTAAATTTAAGTATTATTAATCTAGAGATATCTTTCTTGAAGTTCTTCTTTAACTTCTTTATTAATAATATTACTTCTATTTTCACTGCCATTTTCATTTTCACCACCATTTCCACTTTCACCGCCATTTTTACCACTATTTTCATTTTTATTTCTACTTTCACTACTATTTCTGCCACTATTTCTACTAATATTTCCATATTTCTATTTCCATTATCACTTCTATTTCAATTTGCAATAATACTAATATTGCTGCTTCGACTTACATTATTGCTTTCAACTTTGTCTTCATTATTGGCCTCTTTATCCAAAACATAAGTAGTTGAAATAGACCAATCTGAAATATCAAGTATTGGTTTTGATTTATCTGCCCACTTTGTATTGCAATACCATCATTTTTATGAACATTTAACATGCAAAATTTTTTTACCCATTTCATCAGCAAGTTGAAGAATTTTTTTAACCTAATTATTATAAAATAAAAGAATATATTATAAAAATTTAATTAATTGCAAAATAATAATAATTACTTACTCTTCAAGACTTTCATTGCTTGTCATAAACTTGAATCACATGATAATCATTTTTTTTTTATAACCCAGGTGAATTTTTATTCATTTTTCAGATTTTGTTTGTTCAATATCCATTTCTGAGACTTCATTCAAGTAAAAGCCTTTTTTGTTTAATATTTCTTCAAAGTTATCATTAAAATTATTCCAACTAATAGAAGGAGCAAGTTCTATGAGGTTTTTATCTTTGGTATTAACTATATGATTAAACTCTTGGACATATCGTCTTATTTTATATAAATTAAATACAGCAAACGGTTATTTTCGAGCACATGATTGTTTTGACTAAATTAACTAATCAAAATCTTTCAAGCAATACTGGTAAAATGATAGTTTTATTGTATAAAAAGAAAAAAAAAATAAATACTTACTTTGCCATGATGTGTTTTTATTTTTTTATGTCTTTTATCAAATCTTGCCTTTTATAGATCTTGCTCGATCTGCTATTTTTCGCATTGATAGCAGTAAAGGCTTTGTAAAATGTATTTTATTTCATCTAAATTATACCTGAACTAACTATCCAAGCCTTTACCAATAGCTGATATGATATTTTTGTTTACGTGCCGAGATATATCTGATCTTTTTTGACTATTTTTTTATTTCATCAATGCTCAGATTATCATTAAGGCTATTTAAAATTT